CTCAGTGCTGGACTGGGAGTGAGAAGACCAATGTGTGTCCCGTGTCTGCCACTTCCTGTCGGTGTGGGCTCAAGACCCTCACCTAGGAGGAGGGTGGCTGAGGTGTCACTCCAGTCCTGGTGTCCTGACTTTCAAACAATTGTCTAGGGTATGCAAGCCAGCACCTCCCCTTCTCTGTTCCCTAGATAGATGGATTTTTTTTTTTTTTTTTTTTTTTTGAGACAGGCTGGAGCTCAATGGCTAGGATTATAGGCGCCCACCACCATGCCAGGCTAATTTTTGTATTTTTAGCAGAGATGGGGTTTCACCATGCTGGCCAGGTCGGTCTCCAACTCCTGACCTCAGGTGACCCACCCACCTTGGCCACCCAAAGTGCTGGGATTACAGGTGTGAGCCACTGTGCCTGGCCGATAGATGGATTTAGCTAGACTATTGCTTTGTGAGAGCAGAGGGGCCCAAGAGCCTCATTCCCCATCTATATAACTCTAAGACTGTATGAGTCAGGGTGAGTTGGTTTCATCATGAAAACAACCACCCCAAACTCTCAGTGGCTGCAGGCGGCTGGTTCTCTTCCTTTCCCTGCCACATGTGTGCAGCAGGTCCGCTGGGGGCTGTGTTCTGATACTCAGGTTGCCCCCACAAACCCTCTGGAAACATTGCTATTCTCAGCGCCTGGGAGAAGAGTCCCTGAGAATTTCACCTGGACAATTAAATGCTCTAGGCCTGGAAGAGACACACGCCACTTCCAACCACCACTCATTAGCTAGAATAAGCCCATGGCTCCTCTCAACCATGAGGGGCAGGGAAGTCCCATCCCGCTGGCGCCTGGAAGGCTGAGAGCCAGAAGTTGGGGAACAGTACTCCTGGCTACCACAGAGTGGAACCAGTTCTGAGGCTCCCAAACCAAGTTTTGAAAGCAAGGGGAAGCCTAATCTCATTACCTATTTTCTATCTTTTTTACCTGTATAAAACCCAGGCCAATACTTTGGGAGGCCGAAGCAGGTAGATCACTTGAGGTCATGAGTTTGAGTCCAGCCTGCTCAACATGGCAAAATCCCATCTCTACCTAAAAAAAATAATAATAAAAGATTAGCCAGGCATGGTGGTGGGTGCCTGTAATCCTAGCTACTCAGGAGGCTGAGGCAGGAGAACTGCTTGAACCTGGGTGGCCGAGGTTGCAGTGAGCTGAGATCGCTCCACTGCGTTCCAGCCTGGGCGACAAGAGCGGAACTCCATCTCAAAAAACAAAACAAAACAAAACAAAAAACCCAAACCTCTCTTTATTAAAACATCCTCCCTCTATGTGTATATATTAAAAAGTCTCTCTCTATATGTCTATGTGAGAAAAAAAAATGTGCTCTGCTCCTTTCAAAACCAACCCTGAGACCCCTGGGAGTGCTAATGTTCTGCACTCACAGTTCCCCACCAGGCCCTGATCAGACCTGGTTCTAGGACCGGGGTTCTCACCCTGGCTTCCCTGTGGTATCACCTGGAAGCTTGTGAAAATCCCATGGACGCCAGGCCTCACCCCAGACCAATTCTGTCAGAACCTCTAAGCTGGGGCCAGGCAGAAGCAATTCCGTGAAGCTCCCGGAGAGGCCTGGATGGGCCCATGGTGAGTCTGCTGTTTCAGGGAGGGGTCCTAAGGGAAGCCAGAAATGGGGGTTTGCCTCAACAAACCAGGAACTGAGGAAGGTCGAAGAGAATTTGGTGATTACCCTGATTCGTGATCCCAGCTGCTTCCCAGTGGTGGGAGCTGGGAACGCCGTGGGAAGCAGGTGTGGGAGGGGTTCCAGGGGGGTTGGAGTGCTGTCACTCAATGCCAGGCCCAAGCTCGGCTGCTGAGGAAACAGGAAGTGCATCCGGAGCTGAGTGCTCCATAAGTCCAGGGTATTCACTATTCACACGGACACATGCATGCATTCACACACATTTGCATGTTCCCATAAGCATACACACAGACGCATATACTCAGCCAGGTGTGGTGGTGCATGCCTGTAATCCCAGCACTTTGGGAGGCCGAGGCGGGTGGATCTCCTGAGGTCAGGAGTTTGAGACCAGCCTGGCCAACATAGTGAAACCCTGTCTCTACTTAAAATACAAAAACTTAGCCAGGCATAGTGGCAGGTGCCTGTAATCCCAGCTACTTGGGAGACTAAGGCAGGAGAATTGCTTGAACCCGGGAGGCGGAGGTTGTAGTGAGCTGAGATGGTGCCACTGCACTCCAGCCTGGGCAGGAGAGTGAGATTTCTTCTCAAAAAACAAGCAAAAAAATACACACACTCATACACACAGCCTCACACACACATACACTCACATGGGTCAATACACCCCCACATATACACACACACATTTACATACTTTGCCACACCTGTGCACACCTCACACACGCATGCTTACATGCACACCCACACACCTTTCTAGTTTCATAAGAAAGAGAAAGGTCAGACTCTTAGGGCAAATGAACCTCAGTCTTTGCCTGGTCTAATTCTCTCATTTTCCATATGAGGAAAAGAAGGTCTAGAGAGAGATCAAGAAAGGTGAAGAAGCCCCCTTGGTCCTGGTCAGGTATCTTTTGTTCCCAAAGGTGTTACTGAAGAAACACCAGGAGTCTGGTCCAGGTCTTGCTGCTTGCCACACAGAAAGCCAATCACTGGGAGTCTGGGCCTGTTGGCTCATGCCTGTAATCCCACCACTTTGGGAGGACGAGGCGGTAGATCACTTGAGGTCAGGAGTTTGAGACCAGCCTGGCTAATATGGTGAACCCCCATTTCTATTAAAAATACAAAAATTAGCTGGACATGGTGGTAGGTACCTAAAATCCCAACTACTCTGGAGGCTAAGGCAGGAGAATTGCTTGTGCCACATGATGGGACCACAAGGGCTTGGGTCTGGGCACCTAACTCAAGCATCAGGTAAGGGTGACCTCAGGGCCCCGCCTGTGCACTGGCCTTGGGAAGTGGGTGCGGGGGGGTAAGAGCCTCCAACCATGTCCAAGTCCATTATGACTTCATTTAAATAAATAAATGTGATGTTTCCTGCAGAACTGAATTTGTGGCTAAGATTCATACCTGCCACATGGGTACACACATCTAGTTATAGTGGCAACTGCTTTGTTTTTTGTGTGTGTATTTTGGTGTTTTGTTGTTGTTGTTTTTGTTTTGGGGTTGTTTTTGTTGGTGGTGGTTGTTTGGTACCGCTAGTTTCTAAATATTTCCTCCTCTTTGATGAAGAATGTGATCGGTGGCAGGTGGAAGATGGCCCAACAGTCCTGAAGGAACACTCACACACCGAGTTTAGGAACCCACCCCTGTCCTGAGAGCTCAAGTTAAGACTTTGTCTTGGAACTGAACAATCTTGACATCCCAATTACATGAAATCAATTTAAATGAATTAGACAAATTACAATGCCTCCCTTGAGAATATCAGTTACGTGGGCAGTGGAGAAGGCATGTGGAGGGCTCCTGTCTTTTGAGGTGGCTGCAAAGGTGTCTGCCTGACCAGTCCTATGGAGACCTGTCCACACTGCCCCCTGGTGGTCATTCCATCACCCTCCAAACACTCCAAAGTGGGAGGTGGCCCCAGGAAGCCCACTTCTCTCTCCCAGGCCTTTGGCAGCCCCTGCTGGAGCTGGCAGCGAGGAGGGCAAGCCCCAGGAGGCTGGAGGCTCCAGAGGAAGGGAGGACGAGGAGCCTCAGGCAGAGGGAGGCGAGCCCTTGGAGCTGGCTGCTTGACTTGGCAGAGGCTGCAGAGGAAGTGAGAGAGTATGTTAACCGGCACAGGAAGGTTCTCTGAGTTTCTCTGGCTGTCCATGGTGCAATGGTTTGCGTGAATCCAGGCCCCCACTTACTGGGTAGACTACTTCCAGCTCCTTATGCAAAAGTAGTTCCTGGCCAGACTCTGGCTTAGCCTGTCCTGGGACAGTGAGTCTGGGGCTCAGATGGGTTTCTGCAGAGACCTCTCTGTTCCTGCCTCTTAGGCTCTGAGATCACACCCCCAGTTCCTGTGTCCCACCTTGTGGCCCTAAGCTGAGGCCTGGCAGGTGTCCCTGTCAGAACCAGCCTGAGTCTGGGCTCCGAGTGAACCCCAGTCAAAAGCTTCAGTATCCCATGAGTCCACCTTTGGCTGGTTTTCTCCACAGCCAGCCTCCACTACCAGTGCCACCCCGCTTCATGCTGGCTCTAAAATGATCTTCAAGGACATCTGAATTTGCACATTTTATATCAAGTTCTTCTTGTTATTGTTTTCATAATATATTGCCAGATTTACTCATAATTAAACAAATTAAAACAACAAAATGATCTTTTTGCCTGGCAAACTGACAAAAGTGAAAAATCACTGGCTGAGCACAGTGGTTCACACCTGTAATCCCAGCACTTTGGGAAGCCAAGGCAGGCAGATCACCTGAGGTCAAGAGTTCGAGACCAGGCTGGCCAACAAGGCAAGACAATATAAAGGAAATTGAAGAAACTGTTGAAGCAAACTGTCATTTTGCCTGAGTATGTAAAATTAAAAGTGCTTTCCAGATGGGGTATTGAATTAGCTCAAGCTAATTCTACTACAAGCTCCAGTGGAAGGCAGGTGTTCAGACTGACTTTCTTTTGCTATTTGCCATACCTTCCTTCTGCCACCTGTAAGAATCACTCTTGGTTGCACCAACGGGAAGGCAGTTGGCACAAATTCTGTGCATACACAGACACACAACATGTAGGTCCAGGACTCCCTGGGCGTGTTGTGACTATACCCCTGGTGCCAAGCACAATGCCTGGTGTATAGCAGGTGCTCAGTAACTGTTTTTGAAATGGACATTTCTCTCCACCTTAAGCCAAACCAGTAGACTCACTGCTACTAAGAGATTGCAAACCTCTGTCACAGACCTTTGCAGAAGTGATGCCAAAGTAGCATTTTGTGGGTAGCATCAGCAATTCCCAGATTTTATGGGTCAGCGGGAGTTAGTTCTTCATGATGCCTTGAAACCTGAAGTGTATCTGTGGGACTGGCACAGCTGTAAGAAAGCCCTTTATGAGGTCATCATCCCCCACTTGCCATCTTTCCCCAAATGCAGACATGCAAGCTTTTAAAAACACTTGAGAAGCTACCATGCCTCGCTTTGCAAACCCTCTTTTCAGAAACATCATTAACAGAAGTCAATTTGATGGCATCAAGAGGACACAATGCCTCCAATATCTGAAAACCCTGAGAACACTGCAATATGATGGATTTAAGACCATATATTTTGGGGAAACCAGTATCCCAGAAAGTCTCGTAACTGGGGAAGATGTTAGTGATGGACATTACATGCAAACCCCAAGCTGGTGTATTGTTCACGCTGGTGGTAGTCAGGGATGGGTGCCTTGGCAATATCGGATGTTCCTAAGAGATGAGCTGTGTGTCAAACAAGAAGACAGCCTCTTCTCTGAGTTCTGTGACATGGTGAGGAAGGCCTATGGAAAGTGTGTTATCGTGGTCAAAGAAAGAAGGCAGCAGGAAGAGCGGAGGCCAAAGGAAGACAGAGAAGCTGAGGGCCAGTTCTGTATCCCTGCAGTCATTAACTTAGCAAACACTGTGTGTTGCCCAGAGGTGGCCAAGTCCTGTGGCCATGAACTACTCTCTCTGCCTCCGCCCTGCAATTACCTGAATCCTTTAGACTCAGCCTGGTCTTGTCTGAAATGGTTTATCTTCAATAACAGAAAAGAGTTTTGTTTGCAGTCCATTGACGATGTCTGTTCTTACCAATATATACTTTTCAGCAGTTTAATTACCGAAGGGATTGAAAGGATAAACCCAAGCAAGTGGAGAACTTTAACTAGCAGAGTACGGAGATGGGAAAACCACTATCTTGGGAAATGTTCTTAAGGGCGATTCCTCCAACAAACAATGAGGCTGCTGTGTGTCAGATTCCACACCACTGCAGCCAGGCAGACTTCAACAGCGCCCTCACACTGCAAGAACTGAGCGGTTCCTAAGGATGTTGGCAAAGCACTTTTTCTAGAAGTTTCATTAAAATTTGTTGGTAAGTTAGGGGTCTCGACTCTTATCTTGTAAAGGCTACTCTGAGGGCTCTGTCGGGGTGGACTGGGGCTAACCCAGCCCAAAGGAGGATGGGGGTGAGCAGGGGTGAGCCGGCTGAAAGGTTGTGTGGTCAAAATTTAGTTCTGAGAAGAAAAGAGAACCTGTGTGCAGTTATCCCCAAAAAGTCCAAATTAAATAGGGTGCCAACCGGTTTCTGCCCACCGAAGTAATCCACAGGGATCCAGCTTGCCATGGGCAAGACATTGCCGACGGGCTGGGTGGCATGCATCTATAGTCCCAGCTACTTGGGAGGCTGAGGAAGGAGGATGACTTAAGCCAGGAGTTTGAGACCACGGTGAACTGTGATTGTCCACTGCACTCCAGCCTGGGTGACCAAGTGAAACCCTGCCTTTAGGTCTGCCAAGCAAGACCCCCTCCTCCCAATTGTCCTGCCTTGTCGGCAAGGTGATGGAGGATGAGTGAGAGGCATCTGTAGAGGTAAAACTCCATCCAGACCCTCCAAGGGGAGTAAGTGGTCCCAATTAGGACCTGGAAAGTTATGCAGTGGTGGGTCCAAGTGGGCTATGTGGGCACGGAGTGGCACGCACGGGGGTCTGTAGAGACCACTTATCCAGCCAATCTCCCGGCCAACTCCAGGAATCCCAGCAGGTCCTCAGACTGTGCCATGGAGTTCCATCTCAAGACCCTGTAGCTGAGCCACTTGCAGTGGGACAACACCCCCCCTCTTTAGGTTTGGGGCTGCTGCTGATGTCAGTTGTAAGGGTTTGTGGTTGTCTTTTTCACTTTTATAGAAAAAGGTTTGACCCCTATTAAACCTATCCCAAAATCCACTCTTGGTTATAATATGCAGAAAGTAATTTTACAATAGAAGTAATCATTCTAAAATGTGTAAGAATACCTTACGGCTGGGCACGATGGCTCACACCTGTAATCCCAGCACTTTGGGAGGCCGAGGCAGGAGGACTGCTTAAGGTCACGAGTTCAAGACCAGCCTGGGCAACATAGCAAGACCTTGTCTCTACCAAAACACTTAAAAATAGCTGGGCCGGGTGGCATACATCTATAGTCCTAGCTACTTGGGAGGCTGAGGGAGGAGGACCACTTGAGCCAGGAGTTTGAGGCTACAGTCAGCTATGGTTGTCCACTGCACTCCAGCCTGGGTGACAAGGTGAAGCCCTGCCTCTAAAATAAAAAAAGACTTATAAATTTATATGGGATGTTGATAGCATGGTGGGTGGTGGGACACCCTCTCAATTCACTCAATTCTGCATGAATCTAAAAAAAGGGGGCTCTAAAAACATAAGCTCTTTGAAATAAAAACAAGACATAAAAATTTCTGAGCTGGGCACAATGGCTCACACCTGTAATCCTAGCAATTTGGGAAGCCAAGGTGGGAGGATTGCTAGAGCTCAGAAGTTCGAGGCCAGTAATATGGCAAAACCTTGTCTCTACAAAAAATACCAAAATTCGCTGGGCACGGTGGCACACGCCTATGGTCCCAGCTGCTCGGGAGACTGAGATGGGAGAATCGCTTGAGCCCCGGGAGGCGGAGGTTGCAGTGAGCAGAGATCGCACCACTGCACTCCAACCTAGGTGACAGCGTCAGGCCCTGTCCCCCCCCAAAAAAAAAATAGTAAAGAAAGAAAAACTTTCTACCCAACCCCTAACGGGCTCAATAAAATTGTAAGTCCAGGTTTCTGACAGCCAAGTGCAGAAAGCGCCCCATCCTTTGCTTGGCTTCTTTCCCTCCTGAGCCTCCCTGTATTATTCAGAAAGACTTTGCCAGACCGAAGTGGGTGTTCAATGCTTTTCAGCAACTAAGTGGTTAACTTCCCAGGCACTTTGTCCTGGTTACAAAGGAAATCCTGGGAGCATTTTTCCAGGAGATGAATCACACCTCAAACAGCCAACCACTCAGAACTACCAAGTTTCCACTGTTCCAGGCCTCACTTGACAGCCAACAGTGCTGTATTAGTTTGCGGTAGGTAACCGTAACTCCCACATCACAGACAGTGGTGTGAGTTCAGCACGTGCAGCTGTTGGTGCCTGCTACTCCAGAACCCTGGGAGGCGTGGAATAAACTCATCTCGCAAAACTTGGGCCCTACACGTGGGCCTGCACAATGACAGCACATTGAAGTGACTAAGGAGGTTGGAGTACCATGGTTTGCTCTCAGAGAACTTAAATCCTAAAATGTACATGAAATCCTGAGGGAAAAAGACCTCACAAATATCCTATGCAATAGGAGTTGTTTCACCAGGTTAATTACCACAGGTTTGGTGGCTTAAAACAAACCAGGTGTCGCGGCTGTGGGTGCAGGCACTCCGAAGGCTGAGGCAGGAGGATCGCTGGAGCCTAAAAGTTTGAGGCTACAGTGGACTCTGATCGCACCACTGCACTCCAGCCTGGGTGACAGAGCGAGACCCTTTCTCAAAAAGAGAGAGGGAGAAGGGAGAAAGAGTGAATCATAGCAAGAACTCCACCTTGAAAACCCCTAACCTCTGAGCCTCCAGAGAGACTGATTTGAATAATAACTCCATCCCCCGGGTGGCCTGCCTTACTTCAATTAAATTCTTTCTTTACTGGAAAAAAAAAAAAAAAAAAAAAAAAAAACCCCTTCAATTCTTGATTAATCATCTCCCCCTAGTGGTATAGGAAAATTAACAAAGCAAAAACAAAACTCCCAAATGCTCTTCACAAAAAACCTACATCTGGCCTGGGCAGTATAGCATGACCCTTGTCCCTACTAAAAATTAAAAAATTAGCACGGCCTAGTCTCAGCTACCCCGGAGGCTGAAGTGGGAAGATCACTTGAGCCTAGGAGTTCAAGGCTGCAGTGAGCTATGATTGCACCACTGCACTCCAACCTGGGGGACACAGCAAGGTCTCATCTCTAAAAAAATAAAACCAAAAAGAAAAACCGGAAAAGCCATGGGCATGATCGGGATGATCAGTGGTTTAGTTCCATCCTTAGGACATCTTCTACCAAATTTTCCAAGATGGCCAGATCTTCCACAAATACCAAAGTGTAGCATCAAACCCCAAAGCCTAGAAAAGCACTATGTTTAGCAGCTGAGTGTCTCCTGGCCAGCAGACCCCCCACCCTCCTTGGACTTAGGGGGTACACAGGTGGGTGGGCATGAGGGAGGAAATGAGGAAATGGTGCTGAGGTGGTAGGTCTGATGCCAGGCAAGGCAGGACCAGGTGATGCCCTACACCCGCGGGATGGGCAGTAAGAAAAGAGGCCAGCCCCTGGGGCAGGAACACGGGCCAGGGTGGGCGGGGTGGCCTGCCAGGCTGCGGAGTGGCCCTGACACAGGCAGGATGGTAGGCCACGGCCCAGGGTCAGTTCAAGGCCCCATCTGAGCATGTTGTGGATGCGTGGGGGGCAGGTGGCAGAAAGCCAAGGGCATTCCACCCCTGCTCTGGTCTTCCATTCATGTTCCAACAGGACCCCACGACACAGCAGGATTAGGCAGAATAAAGTAGACAGAGCTCCCGGCAAAGGCTGGAGTGGCCTCCTTCAGAGAGGCTTAGGTCTGGGCTTACATGAAAGTCCACTTCGACTCTAGTGAGCTCTGCAGCTTGAAGGACCAGGGTCTGTCTCCAGAACTTTGTAAATTCTCCCCTGCTTCCTAAATTGTGAAGAGCATCCAGCAAGCACGGTGCAATTTAAGATGCAACTCCAGACTCCCCACATGGAAAACGCAACCTGCTACCAAGCTGGGCCAGGATGGGTAGACATTTAGCAGCACACGCTCCTGCAAGTTTCCCATGCAGCCGTCAGCAACCAGACCAAACACTGCACCCTGCTTCCGGCACTGGCTGCCGCCGCCTCATTCCCCATCCACTCTGGGGTCTTGTGAGAAACAGGAGAGCATGAGCTCTTGTCGCAGAGATCTGTGTGTGTCAGGTGCTGGGTAAAACCTCTTCCCATCCTCCCTGCCCTTGGTTCCAGCAGCTCCTATGGATGCCTCATCCTTCATCTCATCAGCAAACCCCAAGGAGCAAACAGGTGAGGAGAGGACAAAGCACACCCTGGGGCTCCCACGATTCCCCGCTGCGAGGACACTTATGGTTGGCACAGGAACCGGCTCTCCTAGACATACACAGCCTCCCTCCACGCTAACAGTGAAAACATTCTAAAACACTCTCCCAGGGGCTTGGCCCCTGTAAGAAGGAAAGAGGATAAATGAGGGTCCAGGA